AAGCCGGGGGACTCGCAGGACACTGGCTACAGGACAAGGACTATATAGAAGCGGATTAGTTACAATCCCTGAGCACCCCTAGCCACTTCGAAAGCGGGGATCTCATATCGCAGCCCCTGGGAAATGGCGAGGTCTAACTTGAGTCTGCGGCGGGGTCCCAGAAACAAAAACGGTTCGAGGATGATGTGATCGAGGGCCTGAGAGCAACTCACGAGGCATGAGGGGCGTCTCGTGGAGAGCATGCTGTTTCTTTCCGCTTCGCCCCCTGCAAATGATGTGCAAAGCGCTTGCATATTTTACGAGGTACATACAACTCTTCACCCAACGGGTTCCAAACAATTTGATGCAGCATAAACGCAGACACATGTAATTAAACTACTGCTCGCCAGGCTCCCTAAGAGCTCCCGCTGACAACGACGGTGACGACGACTCAACGACGACGACGGCGACGGCGACGACGTCGGCGACCCGACGGTGACGAGAATGACGATGCCGACGACGATGACGACGCCGACGGCGACAACGACGACGATGACAACGACGACGGCGGCGACGTCCCAGGCAAGCGGCGAACGTCCTGCTCCTCATTCGCCTCCTGGTCCTCCTCCGACTCCGCCGCCTCCTCCTGATCCGCAGCCCCTCCGGCCCAAGGATACGGAGGTCGAGAGTGGACCCGCGTAGCGCGTCACTGCGCTGGGCCCCCCAGCAGGCCTCGAAAGTGGCGACGGTTTCACAGATCGCAGCCCCCCAGGCATGGCGAGGTCTGATTTGGGTCTGCGTGTGGCCTCACTGTGCTGGGCCCCCCAGTAGGCCTCGAAAGTGGCGACAGTTTCACAGATCGCAGCCCCCCCAGGGATGGCGAGATCCAATTTGGGTCCGCGCGTGGCGTCACTGTGCCGGGCCCCCAGCAGGCCTCGAAAGTGGCGACAGTTTCACAGATCGCAGCCCTCCAGGGATGGCGAGGTCTAATTTGGGTCCGCGCGTGGCGTCACTGTGCTGGCCCCCCAGCAGGCCTCGAAAGTGGCGACGGTTTCACAGATCGCAGACCCCCAGGGACGGCGAGGTCTAATTTGGGTCCGCGCGTGGCGTCACTGTGCTGGGCCCCCCAGCAGGCCTCGAAAGTGGCGACGGTTTCACAGATCGCAGCCCCCCAGGCATGGCGAGGTCTAATTTGGGTCCGCGCGTGGCGTCACTGTGCTGGGCCCCCCAGCAGGCCTCGAAAGTGGCGACAGTTTCACAGATCGCAGCCCCCCAGGGATGGCGAGGTCTAATTTGGGTCCGCGCGTGGCGTCACTGTGCTGGGCCCCCCAGCAGGCCTCGAAAGTAGCGACAGTTTCACAGATCGCAGCCCCCCGCAGGCAAGACAGGAGGAGGCAGGCAGGAGGCAGGAGGGAGGCGGGAGGAGACCCGCGAGCAGTGCTCTATTTAAAACGAATGCCCAATCAAGGAGGGCTGGAAATTACCCTGGCGACGTACCCAACCCCTGCGCAAAAGCGGGGCGCAAATAGTTTAGGATACTTTATAAGGGGGCGATGACGGAGCGAGGGTTACATATGTCTGCAGACGGAATTCGGGAGACTCGCAGGACACTGGCTACAGGAAAAGGGCTTGATAAAGCTGATGATTTACAATTCCTGAGCACTCCTAGCCACTTCGAAAACGGGGATCACAGCAGGCCTCGAAAGTGGCGACAGGTTCACAGATCGCAGCCCCGCAGGGATGGCGAGGTCTCATTTGAATCTGCCCGTGGCCCTCACTGTGCTGGGCCCCCCAGCAGGCCTCGAAAATGGCGGCAGTTTCGCAGATCGCAGCCCCCCAGGGATGGCGAGGTCTAATTTGAATCCGCGCGTGGCCCTCACTGTGCTGGGCCCCCCAGCAGGCCTCGAAAATGGCGACAGTTTCGCAGATCGCAGCCCCCCAGGGATGGCGAGGTCTAATTTGAATCCGCGCGTGGCCCTCACTGTGCTGGGCCCCCCAGCAGGCCTCGAAAATGGCGACAGTTTCGCAGATCGCAGCCCCCCAGGGATGGCGAGGTCTAATTTGGGTCCGCGCGTGGCCCTCACTGTGCTGGGCCCCCCAGCAGGCCTCGAAAATGGCGACAGTTTCACAGATCGCAGCCCCCCAGGGATGGCGAGGTCTAATTTGAATCTGCGCGTGGCCCTCACTGTGCTGGGCCCCCCAGCAGGCCTCGAAAATGGCGACAGTTTCACAGATCGCAGCCCCCCAGGGATGGCGAGGTCTAATTTGAATCTGCCCGTGGCGTCACTGTGCTGGGCCCCCCAGCAGGCCTCGAAAATGGCGACAGTTTCACAGATCGCAGCCCCCCAGGGATGGCGAGGTCTAATTTGGGTCCGCCCGTGGCCCTCACTGTGCTGGGCCCCCCAGCAGGCCTCGAAAATGGCGACAGTTTCGCAGATCGCAGCCCCCCAGGGATGGCGAGGTCTAATTTGGGTCCGCCCGTGGCCCTCACTGTGCTGGGCCCCCCAGCAGGCCTCGAAAATGGCGAAAGTTTCGCAGATCGCAGCCCCCCGCAGGCAAGACAGGAAAAGGCGGGAGGCGGGAGAAGGGACGCGACCACACTGCTCTATTCAAAACGAATACCCAACCAAGGAGGGTTGGGAATAAAGCAGGAAGCAGGACGCAGGAGGAGGGAGGGAGGCGGGAGGAAGGAAGGTGGAGACCACAGTCCCTTATTCAAAACGCATACCCAACCAAGGAGGGTTGGGAAAAATAGAACATACTCAACGAATATTCAACAATAGTCCATACTCAACAAATCGTCCCCAGACGATTTGTTTTATCTTTGAACTGTCCCCCTGTAGAAGGACATGCCCGACTGAAACATAGCATGTCGCGACGAAGCGCGGTGGGACACGCTAAGCCAAAGTTCCCGACCATGACCAACAGTAAGAGCTCGACCACAAGAAACCTTCCATAAGAGAAACCCAACCCTGAGACCCCAGGACGTCCACTGGTTTCTGGTGTGGGGACGGCGCGCTTGCCACAAACAAACCGTCGAAGCCCAAGAAACACCTGGGGCACCCTGGAGGCAAGCAGGGCGTCTCTTGGCATGGGTTTCCACTGCATCGATCTCCAACCAACCTCCTCCTCCTCCTCCTCCTCCTCCCCCTCCCCCTCGTTCTCCTCTTTCTCCTCCTCCTCCTCCTCCTCCTCCTCCTCCTCCTCTTCCTGCCCATGGGTTACGGGCCGAGGCCTCTGAGGCCAGGACCTGGTGGCTCCCCGCCCCCTGCTCGCCGCCGCTCGGACGTCCACTCCCCGTGCGTTTTTCGGCCTCGTGCGCACTGGGCGAAGTCCGCACTCCGAGTTTCTCGGTAAGCGTGGGTGAGGCGTCGCCCCCGCCGACAGCCCCACACCGACCCCCGTCGCGGGCAGCCACAGCGCGCCGAAGGCGCTCCGACCCCCGTCGCGGCGCGGCGACGAGGCGAGGTTGACCCCCGTCCGGGGGGTGCCCCTCCACGCTTATGGATAAACCCAGAGTGTGCAATCCCGATCCTGTGAGCACGTGAAGCCTGTTGTGCTCTCCCTTTCTCCTCGCTTCTCTTCCCCCGCCTGGAGGTGCCGGCTCCGCCAACTTGTTGATTAGTGGTGCGTTCTGCTCACGCATCCTTCAGGGGTGCACGGCTTCCTTGCCCTTGGCGCTTCTGCTCGCACGACGATCCAAGATGCTCCTCGATGGTCCTCGCCGAGGAGAGAACGCGCCCGAGCGATGCCAAGCCTGAGGTCAGGGCGCTGCGGGCGTTTCTCTGCTCGGCTTCGGGCCGCAGGCCCTCGATCCGGCTCGATCCGGCTCGAAAAACTGCGGCCGAAGGATGGAGCCTGGGGCTCTCAAATCGCGAACGAAGCGGCAACCGTGCTCAGAAAGGCCCAACCTGCGAAGGGTGCGCAAGCGCTCGATCGCGAACGAGGGCTACATATATGCTCAGAATGCTCCATCTCTCCCGCCCCATCGGATCTCAGGGCAGTATAGTCGTCAAGGCGGGCGCGCACCCGACAGGGGGGCACGGCCGGAGTCGGGGCTAGGCCGGACGACCCAGAGTCGGAGGCATACGGTGGGGGCACTGGATCAGGGCCAGGGACCCTCAGATAAGGAAGGGGCGCCAGGACACACAAATAAATACACACAAATAAAAAGATGCCCCATATTTTCATATATTTCCTGTGTTTTTGTCTTCCCCACCACTTCCCATATTTTCCAATATTTTCTGGGGGATCGACGATTAATTGTGTCCGTGTGTTTTTTTCCCTCCTGAGATAAGGAATCCAGGATCTGGAGGCCGGTGAGGCTCCAATCCAATCGAGGCTTGGCCATGGATATCACCGCCGCCCTCCTCAGACAAGGGATCTTCCAGGGTCTGCGGCCTCTTGGGCACATTCCTGAACGAACGCCCCCACCGTGCGAGAGGCGTGGAGGGGAGGGGAGGAGCCAGGAGTGCAACGTCCTGTAAGAAATCAGGGCGGGCGTGTTCGTCGTGTTCGGCCCCCTGTAAGGGTCTGTAGGCCCTCCCTGGGCCTGCAAGACCGTCGAGAACGATTCAAGATCAAAAGCCGGTCCTGTGCAAAAGGTCGGGGCTTCCGGAACCCGCGCATTTTATGTTGCATCTTTGGGGGCCCATCGTCGGATCTCTGTCGCATCCGTGTCGATTCCACGTCGAATGCGTGTCGAATCTGCGCCGAGCCCACGTCGACGTAGGAATGAAGACGGCCGTTTGCACAAGGCGGCCGTTCACAGGAAAGGCTCCCCGAAGGTGCAATGATGAGCCTGTTTTCCACCACCACCACCGTATGTTGGAGAGGGGAAGGAGGAGGAGGAGGAGGCGGGCGAAGAGAAGGAGGAGGAGGAGGACAAGGAGGAGGAGGAGGATGAGGAGGAGGAGGAGGAGGAGGACGAGGAGGAGGAGGACCCCCCCTCCAACTTATGGTGGTGGTGGTGGAAAACACGCCCATCATGCAGAGCAACGCGCTGACAAATCACTGGCGGCCTGCGCCCTGGCAGCGGGCAGCCCGGCCCGCTGCAGGTCCCCGCTCTCGTCGACGCGGAGGGCGTCCACGAAGAAGCGGGCGAAACAGCCCGCCGTGGGCGCGCCTGGCATCAGGCCGGGCGTGTTCCCCCACAGGGGGAGGTCGGAGGAAAAACTAAAGATAGTCAACACATACTCTCAAAGGTTATGAACATACAACAAATTGTCCCTGGACTATCTTGTTTGCGTATTTTTGCATATGTTCCTCCTGTGGAGGGACGCGCCCGACTTGAGCCTGGCATCCAGCCGTCCCTCAGGGCGTGCAGGACCTCGAGCGTGGCCACCGCGTCCTGCGCGGCGTACTGCACCTCGTCGGGGGCGGCAGCTCTGCGCGACGGCGGCGCTCCGACGCTGACCCGGCGGCCCGGACGGGTGTCTGGGATCAGGGCTGGTGGGACTTTGGCACGGCGCCGCCGGCGCCGCACCCGCCCTCCCCCCCCCCGCTCCTCGCTGCCGCCGGCATTCTGGCGAGGCGTCGCAGGCGAGAGGTCTGGGAGGGAGGGAGGGAGGGGGGGCGGGGCACGGCGCCGCGGGGGGGGGGGGGGGCACGGCGCCGCCGGCGCCGCGCCCGCCCTCCCTCCCTCCCGCTCCCGCTCCCGCTTACCTCCCGCGCCGCCGCCGCCGCCGCCGACCTCGTCGCTATCGTCGTCGTCGCCGTTGTCGTCGTCGTCGTCGTCGTCGTCGTCGTCGTCGTCGTCGTCATCATTGTCGTCCGTCGTCCTTGGGCCGTCGTCCGTTTCCCGTTGTAGGTCGTCCGTCGTCCGTCGTCCGCCGTCGTCGTTGCCGCCACCGCCACCGTCGTCGTCGTTGTCGTCCCCCTCGTCGTCGCCACCGCCATAATCCCCAGCGTGGCCGTCGTCTTCGTCTTCGTCGTCGTCGTCCGTCGCCGTCGTCGAGGTCGTCCTCGTCGCAGCCGTCGTCTTCGTCCTCGTCGTCCGTCGTCCCTACTCCGTTTTCGAACCCCCATCGTCCCTAGTCCGTGGTCGCCCGTCGTCCGTCGTCCGTCGTCGTCGCCGTCGCCGCCAACGCCGCCACCGCCGCCGCCGCCGTCGTCGTCGTCGTCGTCATCGTCGTCGTCGTCGTCGCCCGTCGTCTTCGGAGGCGCCGCCTCCGTCATCGTCGCCGCCGACGCCGTCGTCGCCGTCGCGGTCCTCATCGTGGTCGCCATCATCGTCGTGGTCGTCGTGGTCGTTGTGCCTCGACCGTCGCCGTCGCCGCCGCCGCCGTCGCCGCCGTCGTCGCCGTCGCCGCTGTCGTCGCCGTCGCCGCCGTCGTCGCCGTTGTCGTCGCCGCCGCCGTCGCCGCTGCCGCCGTCGTAATAGTCGTCGTCGTCGTCGTCGTCGTCGTCGTCGTCGTCGTCCGTCGTCCGAGGGTCGTCGTCCGTTTCCCGTCGTACATGGTCTGTCGCTCGTCGTCGTCGTCGTCGACGCGCCGCCGCCACCGTCGTCGTCGCCCTCGTCGTCGCCGCCGTCGTCGCGCTCCTCATCGTGGTCGTCGTCGTCGTCATCTTCGTCGCCGTCGTCGTCGTCGCCGCCGCCGTCGTCATCGTCGTCGTCGTCCGTCGCCCGTCGTCCGTCGTTCCGTCGCCCGCCGTTCGTGGTGCGCCGTCCGTCGTCCGCCACCGCCGCCGTCGTCGCTGTCGTCGTCGTCGTCGTCGCCGTCGTCGTCGTCGTCGTCGCGGTCGTCGTCGTCGTCCGTCGTCGTCTTCGTCGTCGGCGCCGCCGCCGCTGGAGCCGCCGCCGCCGCCGTCCGCCGTCGTCGTCGTCGCAGTCATCGACGTCGTCTCCGTCGTCGTCGTCGTCGTCATCGTCGTGGTCGTCGTCCGTCGGCCGCCGCCGCCGTCGTCGTCGCCGCTGCCGCCGTAGTCGCCGCCGCCGCTGCCCCCGTGGTCGCCGTAGTCGCCGCCGCCACCGCAGCCGTCGTCGTCGTCGTCCTCGTCGTCGTCGTCGTCTTCGTCGTCGTCGTCGCCGTCGTCGTCGTCCGTCGGTCGTCGCCGTCGTCACCGCCGCCGCTGCCGCCGTAGTCGCCGCCGTCGTCATCGCCGCTGTCGTTGTTGGCGTCGTCGTTGTTGCCTTCGCCGCCGACGTCGTTGCCGCCGTCGTCGTCCTCGTCGCCGTCGTCGTCGGGGGCGCCGCTCCCCCACAGACCAGGCTTCGGCCCAGGCCGTTTCGGTCGCCGGTACCAGAGCATGTAGGAGGCCCATATTTGAGAATCGTATACAAGTCCGCGGGCCCCCATATACATGTATATATATATATATATATAGATACCCGACAGACTCTGTGCGCAAAATGACTGCCCGGGACAAGCGTCCCAAGCACAAGGTTGTAACATGTCACAGTTTGCACCGCAGGCCTCCAGCAGCCTGGTCTGCTCAATAATTAATTTGTTCAGGCCCCCCTTGGACTTTGGAGGCCTCAGGGGTGCCTCTTCAATTCCTTTTTTGGCTCCCGGGGTCCTGTGATGACCATCTGTGGGCTGCTTGGGTGTCTGTTGGAGGCCTCCCGGGAACGTGTTAAAAGGTCTTCGAAAGCATCTCCATCTTGTGGGGGGCGGCCCTTAGAGCCTCCGCGAGCTCGCCTTCTCCGATGTATCGCCCCCTCTTCCCCCCCCCCCCCTCCTCCTCCTTTTCCTCCTCCTCCTCCTTCTCCTCCTCCTCCTATTCCTCCTCCTCCTCCTCCTCCTCCTCCTCCTCCTCCTCCTTCTCTTCCTCCTCCTTCTCCCCCTTAATTTCTGCAAAGACCATGGCACGCGTACCACTTGTTCACACGCCGCTTCCTCGACACTCAGGAATCACGCTCTCGCTGTGGATTTCCCTACGATGTACATGGGAATCGCGCTATCGCTCGAGACATCCTTGCGATTCATGCAGTAATCACGCTTCAGCAACCCGCATACTTTACCTGGCCGCTTGGGCCCGCCTTCCCGACCCGCCCGTTAGGGTCTACCCGCCCGTCTGGTTTTGTCGCGTGCTTTCTGCTCCTAGCCCACCTTATGCTACTCTCTCTCTCTCTCTCTCTCGTGCTCCATCCTCTCTCCCCCTGGCCCCTTCCTTCCATCCGTCCTTTCTTTCCGTGCCTTGGTAGGTAAGACGTGGTACATGTATGTATGTGCCTTGGTATGTAATATTTATACGTGGTAGGTAAGACGTGCACATGTATGTGTATATATATATATATATATATATTATGTATACCAGAACCATCGCGCGCGCTTCGCGCGCGCTCAGGTTCTAGGCCAGGCGAGGGGGGCGCTGGACGATCTTGGACAACGCTATGAAGCACAGGCGCGCGACGGCATCTAAGGAGCTTCTGGGGTGTTCCGCATGCTTCGTCAACTGGCTGTTGGAGGCACCTCTTGGGTGCCTCTTGGGGGGGCGTCTGAGGGTCCCTTGGGGGCATCGGTTCTGCAATCTGAAGCCGTCATTGGCCGTCTTGGCTGCGTGGAGGCCCGACTTGAGGCCACCTGCGGCCAGATTGAGGCAACCCGGAAGCCTCCCGGGGGCCTCCTGGAAGCAGTTTTGACGCATCGAGGGCACCCTTGGGCTATTTTAAAACCTCTTGGACGTCTCCTAGGGGCCTTTTGGGCCCTCGGGAAGCTTTTGGGGTCCTCGTCGGACCACTTGTGGGCCTCTTGCGGCCTCCTGTGGGCCTTTGGGGGGAACGCTCTGCTGTTGGGTCGCGTTCCCCTTCTTGGGCCTCTCTTGGGGCTCTTGGGCCCCTCTCAGGCCGTCTTGGGCGCCTCAAGCACCGTCTTGGGGCCCTCGCGGGCCGTCTTGAGGCCCTCTTGGAGGCCTCTTCCTCTATATGGGAGCAGTATTGGAAGCCCCTTGGGCCGTCTTCGAGCATCGGGATGCCAAAAGGCAGAAAAAATTAAAACTCGCGTCAAAGCCCAATCGTAAAACAACGAGTTGTGCCTCTTGGGGCCACCTTGGGAGATCTCTTGGAACCTCGTCGGCCCTCTTGGGAGCTTCTTGGGGGCCTCTTGGATCCGATTGGGGGCCTCTTGGGACTTCCCGAGAACCTCTCGGGGTAGAAAGCTCGGATTCTCGGTTCGTGTTTCCCTTCTTGGGCCTCTCTTGGGGCCGTCTTGGGGCCCTCTCGGGCCGTCTTGGGCGCCTCAGGCACCGCCTTGGGGCCCTCGTGGGCCGCCCAGGGCCCTCTTGGAAGCCTCTTCGGCTATCTTGGAGCTGTCTGGGAGGCCTCTTCCTCCTCCTCGTCCCCCTCCTCCTCCTCCCACTCCAGCTCTCTCTCTCCTCCTGATCTTCCTCCTCCTCCTGCAGCGTGTTCCGGAAGGCTCCCGCCGGAACATGCTGTGCACAAGTGCTGTCACTGCTCCCGCCACCGTGCCCTGGGTGGTGGGTCAGAGGCCTCATGGGTGTTGGTTTGGATCTCGTGGTTGGCCTGTCGGGGACGTCGTGAAGGCAGTTTCGCAGCTTCTCGGTAGCCGTTTTGGGACCGTTGTGGGGCCTCCTCGGGGCTGTTTTGTGGCCTCTTTAGGCCTCGTTTGGGCCTCCTGGGTGCCTCTTGGGGGCCTCCTGGGGCCTCTTGGGGGCTCCTTGGGGCCTCCTGGGGCACTCTTCAAGCGGGAGGGTCGAATTTTGGAGTCGTGGTCCCCCTCTTGGGCGCATCTTGGGGCCGTCTTGGGGCTCTGGTGGGGTGTCTTGGGCGACTCTGGGGCCGTCTTGGGGCCCTCTTGGGCCGTCTTGGGGCGCTCTTGGGGGCCTATTGAGCCGTCTTGGAATGTCGGACAGCCGAAAAGGCTGGAAGGCCAAAATCGTTCGAAAACCTTAGTGCGATTGACGATTTCGGCCTCTTGAAGCGCTCTGGAGAGGCGTATTGAAGCGTCGTGGAGTGCCTTGGGGGGCCTCTCGGGCCGTCTTGGGCCTATCTTGGGCGTCCTGGAGCGGTCTTTCGGCGACTCGGGGCCCGCTTGGGCCGTCTTGGGAGCCTCTGGAGTCCCTCCTGGACTATTTTGGACCTCCCCGGCCGCCCCGTCCTCCCATGGGGGGGTCGGAGGCGGCGGCCTCCGAGGCCCAGGACGCGGAAACCCTATAAAAACACATAGAAAATGAGCCCCGGTCCCCCCATGGGGGGTCGAGGCACCTGTCCTGGGGCCCCCGGCCTCGACCCCAGGAATATATATATATATATATATATATATATATATATATATATATACATATATATATCGGAGGTTGGGGGGTGAGATCGAAGTTGAACGGAGAGCCCCCCTACAGGGAAATCGATTTCGGTTTCGTGTTTGTGCGTGCCGTGCGTGCGGGCGAGGCGAAGCTGCGTGGGCGGGC